ACATGCGACGTTCAGTCACTATATACCATTATACCTCATGATATAGGCTGCCAAGCTGTAAAAGATATTTTAACCAAAGAAGGGAAAATTGCCAGTCAACAAATAGAGTTTATTTTAGAAGGTATTAATATTATTTTAAATAATAATTACTTTTGGTTTTTAAATTCTTTTTATCTGCAAAAAAGAGGCACTACCATGGGGACCAGGTTTGCTCCCAGCTATGCAAACTTATTTATGGCTGACTGGGAGTCAGAAGCCATCTTTAGTAATCATGCGTGGAGAGCGAACCTGGTTTCCTTCTTTAGATACATTGATGATCTTTTTTTTATCTGGGATGGAACCGAAGAAGCCCTAAATTCTTTTATCATTAATCTTAATCTTAATAATAGAGGTATAATCCTCACCCACGAATTCAGTAGAGATAAAATCAACTTTTTAGACCTTGACATTTTTATAGAAAATGGTAAGGTGCATACAAAAACCTTTTTCAAAAAGGTTTGTGTCAACACTGCTATTGACAAAAACAGCTGTCATTACCAACCTTGGTTAGACAGCGCCCCAAAAAGTCAAATACTTAGACTTAGGAGGAATTGTTCAGAACTCAGAGACTTTGAGATACAAGCGAACCTCCTAAAAGATAAATTTGTTGCAAAAAACTATTCAAAAATAGAACTAGAAACTACTATCATGGAAATTCAAGAGAAAGACAGAAATGAACTTTTAAAATATAAACCCAAAACCACGGACATAGAAATGCCTCTACCGATTATTTTTAATTTTAACAACAAGAGTAATAATGTTAAAAAAGTTATAAAAAAACATTGGCACCTTCTAAAACAAGACGAATTATTAAATAAAATTATACCTGAACGACCGAACATTATATTCAGGGGTGCCCAAAACTTTAAATCTATTTTGACTAATAATTTTACAAGAGAAAAAACTTTTAAAAAAAACCCCGCTTTATCCTTTTTTCCACAAATTAAAGGGTTCTGCAAGTGTAAAATGTGTATTGTGTGTAAATCCACCAACCCTGATGTTCCCTCTAAAGTAACGGAATTTATATCAAAAAGGACAAACATGGTTTATAAAATAAATGATTTTATTAATTGTTCTACAAAAAATGTGATATATCTGCTCGAATGCCCTTGTGGCCTCCAATATGTTGGAATGACCACAAGGTGCTTAAAAATACGTCTGAGCGAACACTGCAGGAACATTAAAAATGGATACCTAAATCATTCAGTATCCAAACATTTTATTATACATAACAAAGATCCTAAAATGCTGAAGTGCATTGCTATAGGAAAATGTGTGGTTCCCTGGAGGGGTGGAAATATTAAAAATATTTTAGGCAAGAAAGAGATGGAATGGGTTTACAAACTTCAAACTCTTGCTCCTTATGGTCTCAATGTTGAATTTGATCTGTTTAATTTTTTATAATTTTTTATAACATGTACTTATCTTTTTATATTGTTTTTATTTTTTTTTATTTTTTTTTCCTTTTTATTTTTTTTTTTATTTTTTCACTACTTGTTTAGTCACCTGCCTGCTCCCACTACTGAGTGGGGTAGGCATGGTGCTGATTTTTATTATTTTTATTCCTTTTATATCTATTTTTATTCTTTCTCATTTCTATTATGATTTTACTTATATTCTTCCTCTTTTTTTATTCTTTTATTTTTCCTTTTTATATTATTTCATTTAATTTTTTCCCCTCCACTTTCCCCCTGCTACTACAGCCTGTCCACTTTATTGTTTATTGTGTCTCCTTGACGACGGCTGCAGCATTGTGCCAGCCGCCGTCTATTTACTTCCTGATGACGACGGTCACTGCCGAGTGCGTGCCGCCGTCATCAGGACGCCCGCCCCTTTCATCTATGTCAGCCGCACCACGTGCGAGCTGACACCTATCTCCCCTGCTCACTGGCGTCTGGCCGCACCTCCTATGCGTGCAGACGCCAGTTGCCAGTCCCCCTACATGACGCCGGCGGCTGCGCAGTGCCGGCCGGCGTCATACTACATATCCCATTACCCCTTTCGGTTCCGATGCCGGTCATGTGACCGGTTATCATACAATATGTTTTACTAAAAACGGATCGTTTTTAAAGTTAAATTATATATCTAGAATAGTCATTCTTATGTTTACATTTATGTACCTCTTTTTTATTGTTTTAACAGTGTTTTATCATATGTATTTTTTACTTGCAATCTGATTGGGTGTCCTAATTTTGGCGCCAATTTTCGAATTGTCTGTATATGCTATTTAAATGATTCACTGCCAGGTATCAGGTTCTTTACCCATATTGATAACGCCGACTGGCGAAACGCGTTTATGGTTTTTTATATTGTGTAATGTTATAATTAAAGTATATTTGGTAACTTTTTATTGTACCACTTATCTTTCTATACACATATATTTATTATTATTTCCTGGCACTATTCGTTGGACTCCAAGCAATCCTAGGTGGGGATTATTCCACCAGCGCGATATATCAGGAGCAGTTGACCTGCTCCTGTCTTGTGAGTATCCATTTTTATTTTATATTTTATCTTCAGTTTTATACAGAGAGCACTATTAGCTGTCTCTTTTTATTTGAGTATCTCCCACTCTACGGAAGGACGAGGCACGTGAAGGATAAGCATTCCATATCCCATAAGCGGGGATCTAAACCGCTGTACGCCCTTTACACCAGAGCAGGTTCTAGCTCTTGGAAATGTGAGTTTGCATTCAAGTCTTATATTTTAATTCCCGTTTTATTAAGATATATTACACCATTTGGGTTCTGTATTTGTTTTCATCTCTTACATACGAGACGGCCCAAAAGGAAGATAGAAAGCAAGATTACTGCTCCGGACTATATACTACGGACATTGCCAGATAAGACCCTCTTCCTTTTTTTCATCAATTTTATCTGGACTCTTAATACCTTTTAAGTACTTTTTAAGCGCAGCCCTCTCCTTATATTATGAATAGTAGTTACCTCTAAGCTAATTGCATTATAGGGTGTATCAACTAAGCGCTTACACGTTGTGTTACATTGTGTTTTTCAATGCAACATAATGCCTACATGCTAGAAGAAAGGTCTGAGAAACAGTATATCACCATTTTAGACTGTGGGCAAGTTACAGAAATACACATTTTTATTGTACAATATATTTTTATTCATAAATCACAGCACTACGCACGCTTATTATTTTTCACGTTTTGTTTCTTTGTATTTTGTATTATTTTTCATTAAACAGGTTCTTGTTCACCATAGCTAGTTATACATTTTTATTTAAAGAAACGCTATAGTATTATGAGTACAAAACTGAATTCCTAACACTAAAGTGTTCCTTTAAACTATCCAATATGTGGATGAAAACACAACTCTTAACACTACAAATAATAAATCCAACCAAGAAATGCCAGCATTTTCAATATATTTGTTTATTTTGTATCAATTTGTGAAACTGCTTTCCAGTAGTTTTGCCCCAGAGTTTCACTCACAAATCTGTTTAGAATAGAAGATATGACTGTTTTTTTTGGCAACATGAACGATAAGATGGAGGTAAAGTACCATAAATACACTGATCGTACACCCTTCTATCTGTTTTAGAAACAAGTATAAGAGATTCATAGCACAGCTGAATAACTTCGGTATATTACACATCTTTTGCAGTATTAGTACAGAACATGGTGTTACATATTAATCAACAACATTTTTTTTAATAACTGATATATAACTGATAACTGATTATAAACATTGGCACTGCTATGCTAATTACATTAACATTACAGTGACAGTATAATCTAGAAAAATCAAAGTAAAAATTCAAATTAAATGATATTTACATTATGACAAATGCAGCTATTTATGTTTAAAACAGTAATGATCAATGCCGATCAGCTATCATGTTTAATATTATTAGCATTACCAGTGAAGTAGGTTACAAATAATGACATTTTTCTTATTTGTACAGCAGCTTCAAGTAAGTACCGAGGCATTTCAGCATGAATCAGCACTATTTATGTATAGCAGATGCATTATACAGTGTAATCCACATTTTATTCATATTAAGAATCATTACAAAATATACATCGATATTTTAAATTTATAGACAATTACCATCAAATACCATAAATGCATTATTTAAAACAAGACATCAAAGAAAAGATCATTAGAGTAATCTGGAAAACAAAGGATAGCAGAGATTATAAGTGTGTGGGCGTACGTGCGTGTTTGTGAATGTGTATGTATAATGGTTCTATCCAGTAAAAAGGGAATATTAAAATAAACTCATTCTTATGTTTATGCGCACTCCAACAAAAACAGGCACATCACAGTAGAATTTCTCAAAGGATGCCAGGCAGCCAGATTTCCACTTTGATTGGTCCTTTTTCCCTGAGGGGACTGTCCCAAGGAGGCTGAATTGCTTATCAGAAAGTACCCACATGAGTTATATGCACAAAATGTAAACAAAACTCTTCTTTCATAGTTATCACAGCCTTCAGGGAACCACGATAACCCACATTTCTATTGGTGTGCAGGAGCAATGATTGCCACTGCAGATTAAACAAATGCATACATGTTTAAGAACAAGATTGTAAAATAAAACAGAAATAGATATGTGTTTTCACTATTTTCACTACCCTTTCACCAGTAAATATACCCAAGTACATTTATATATAACTATAATTCAAGCACGTGCGAGATACCTTTTTTAAGGCAAGCACAGGTGCTATCAGGATTAATCTCTATGGAAACCAATAGAATGCTGCTATACACTTAGCTTTTTGCACTAGTACTACTTTGATAAATCTCCCACAATGTATTGTATTAGAAGAAAATATAATTTACATATCAAATTACTTGAATACTTCAAACTTTAGCACTGTAAAAGTAAAGCCGGACTGAGCTGGCTACATTAGTATAGTCTGTTCTTAGCACTAATTTTAAGATCATTTTAAAAGGTAACTCCTTGCTTAAGCTTTGCCATTTTCTCATACGTAACCCTTTAAGAATACAGCTTCAGAGGTAAAAGGCTAGCACAGCATGACAGATTACTCCAGGAACCATGACTGATTCAAGTTGAAGTGCTCATGGTGCCTGGAGTCTGAATGTACAGCGTTTTACTATGAAATGCTGTACATATGGAATTTAACCTGTCTGTTTCCAGTGTAACTACACGTCCGGCAAGTTCATTGGACTGTCATTAGCCAGCCTAGAACTAGAGTTCCAGCCTGGCTAATGTCAATTCTGTGCAATTTTCTATGTACATAAATGAAATCATTGGCTGAGAGCAGTCAGCTTATGCTCTCAGCCAATGAATCTTCAGCAGAATTAGCATCCAACATCTGGCCCTATGCAGAAGCTGAATGTTGTAAATTCTATTTCAGAGCAGACGAGAACCAGGTAAGAAGGCAAACCTTTGCTAAATGGTATGTTCCAATATCGGGTAATGGGTCAAGGGTACTTTTCATATTATAACCTCTACAGCAGACTATGGTGGTTATTTTATTTAGAGTAACCCTTTAAATGAGGCACAAATGTTAGTCCATACAGCACATCAGTAGATATGCCAAACTGTAAATGCTGCAATGATTAAGATACATCTGTATAACAGCATGGTCAATGGTTCTTCAATATGTTTAATCAAACATAGATTAATAGGACTATATATATATATGTGTGTGTGTATGTGTTTCATATATAATTAATGTACAGTTACCTGATAAATGCTTGCAAATACATGTGAGAAAATGTATTTGTGCTTATTCTTTCATATCACTTAATGGAATTTCTGTATCCTCTGGATATTTGGTTTTGTACTCAAGGGAATAACTCATTTTCTGTTGAAAGAAACAAAATATCACGAAAAGCCAGAATTACAAACATTTTATTGCTAAATGTAGAGAAAGGATGGCCAACCCAGTGCTTCCTAGAAGGCATAACTGAACAGGGCTGCGTAATAGTTCCGCTATTGCCACTCCTGTGCAGTTCCATGTGTAATCTGTACTTTTTCTATATAGAAGCTCCTATTTTAACCTATTCTTGGCCCATAATGGCATTCATTTAAAAATAAATGTTTACGTTGTTCAGTTAGTATTTGTATTTATGTTGCTGATCAGTACTTGTTTACTTTCTAACTAGAGACCTGCTGACCAGATTCAACCCCAGCCCAAGTCGTTTTGCAAGGCCTCTGCATTACTGTTGTAGATCACACTGGGCAACAAACTTTAAGAGTCAGAGAATTAAAATTAAAAGAAAATAGGAAACCGAAACAAACTGCCATCTTCTATCACTGAGTACCTACCACAGTGAATTCTTTTTTGGAGGCTTACCACAGCTCCACCTACTTTTTAGTCTGACAAATGCTTTCATCAATGGCATCAAGTTTGGGGGGTGCTGATGCAGGATCGAGTATGTCTGTGGCTGTGTGCTTGTGCATGGCTGAGTGTGTCTGTGTTTGACAGCCTATGTGTATGTCTGCGTGTGTGTCTGTAAGCAAATGTGAGTGTGCCAAGATGCATGTTAAGGGGTGAAGTTTGGAAAGTGGGGCATAGGGTGGGATGCTTTATGAAAGGGACACGGAAATTATTTTTGGGCTCATGCCACAGGTGTTTTTAACTCCAGCAATGCCCCAGACTTTTATTATTTACAGTGAATGATGTTCCTACATTAACACCCCTTATAAAAAGCATGGCCCTCATTATATAATATCCACTGTCTTCTAAAGTTGCCTTTAGTATTTATAAGTCTGTTTGCTTCTTAGAACTTTGACTTCAAGTTGAATGAGTGTTTGTCATATTTTCTTGGAGTAAGGATATATTTTTTACTCTTTGATCTTCCAATTTTCTGGCATCTCCTTTACCAGTTCTTACAGCTGTAATATCCTCCAGGATGATAGCTCACATAGTTAACAAGCAGTGGTGGTACATGAAAATATCCAATGAGGTATTTTGTTTCCTGATTTATGCACTTGAATTTCTACTTCTAGGTCTGGAAGCAGTTTTACTTCTAGGTCCTCGGGGAATGCAGGGCCTGTTTCACACATGTACATTATGGCTTATTGTGACTTTATTAGACTTCTGGTGTTCTAATCTACATCTTACAGTGGCAACTATAGCTAATACGTTTGTTAATATGTCTTCCGTTTGGAACATTTTTAATTTAGAATGTAGTCATCCTGTTTGCATCAAGACACTCTGATATGGTATGTATGCATGGCCTACCCAAGTCATTGCTGCTTAGTTCCAAGGACACAATGATATATCCACCATTCCTACTTTCATAGTCACACAATTCACATGCCAGTCCCATTTTAACTTAGAGAAGGAACCTGTAACAGCCATGTTACCCCTATTTACCAATACAGATTCTCTTATGTCTGAAAGTATGATACTTTCATACTTTCTGACATATTTCCACCTAGTCATATCTCATCTCCCCACCTCCAATTAATATCCCAACTTATCTCCCAGTTCAGCTTCTTACATGCCCTAGATCATTACTCTACATCCCTTCCTGTGGGTTATAACTGTGTTTCCTAAAGAGCCATACATAGACACTGTGTAGCCGAACCTGTCGCAAAGTGACACTAGACCTGGTGACTATAATTAAAGGCCTTGGTGGTAGATTCAAATTAAGATTTTCTCTCATTAGAATGAGAATGAAATAAAGTGCAGAAAGAAAAGCATACTTAATAGGTAATTCTTTTCCCAAAACAAGATCCATTAATAATTATTATAGTTTTTGTTTGTGAGCAAAATAAATACATAGTATGTTAAATAATTTATTTTATATACTTACTTTTTTCTTTTTTAAGATGATAACAATACAAATGATGATGATACTGATCAATAGGATTACAAGGAAAATGATAACAACTAAGGAGATAAAAGGTGAAATATAAAAATGTTATCAATAGTTATGATTTGTAAAAACAAATGATAACCTGCCCCTTCACACACACACTCACCCTTAAGTAATCAAAATGAATGTGTTCAAATAAATTCTCAATAAAACAATAGAACAGGTCTAGTATGTAATTACAATAAATACAGTTTCACACAGTCTTCATTTTTATAAAATCAGTAATAATGGAATGTATTATAATATATGAGGGAATGCATTAGCTAGTTTGCTTATTTGAAGTGTACTGAGTTGTTGGTACTTCCAGGCAAAGCAGAGCCATATTATGAAAGGTGTAGTCAAATTTACGAGTTTTGTTTTGGTATAAAATTGTTTCCTTTAGGCAGTTACCAGGTGTACTCCTCTAATGGAAGACTTGGAGATGGGGAGTGTATACAAAGTGATCAGTTAAGAGGATATGGAAAAAGAAAAAGTAACAGAATGAAGCAGTAAATGATAAAGAACAAAACATGGAAAGCTCAATGGCTGATTGGGGGTGGCCTATTTTCATTAAACATATATAGAAATTAGACAAATATTAAATGCATTTATGGACTACAAGAACACCATTCTTTCATGGAAGTACAAACGTTGATGGAAGGCTCATGACTCAAAGCCTTTACTGTAAAAATATACTATAATCCACTTACAGCATGTGTCACATCCTGTTTCTGTCTGACCATTAGTGGAAGTGTTTCCTTGAGTTACTGTTGTTCTCTGTAGATCTCCTTTCAATCCAATTAAAATTAAGAAGAATATTGCATAAAAATTAACAATCCCCAAAAAATGAAGAATGGATGAATTTTTCTCATAGAATAATTGAATATATGGCGAAACATCCTTGTTTATAAACCTTAACAAGGCTGTCTGGCTTAATTGTTTAAGTGGTGATGGTGCTCGGCTGCTATGGTAAATATTTAAATCTTTCATTTAAAGAATTTCAGAAACTGACAAAAATAGCTGTTTACACCTAGCTCACACAGCATGCTGACATGGAGGGACTTATAGGTGCTGTTAGCAGGAGTAAGGTCTTGCCAAAGATTGGCATTCAGCTGCACCTACCACTGATCAAGAGACAGGGGCAGTCTTTGGACTTGCAAGTACATTGTCCCTGAATCCAGCAGCTGCAAGTTACTCCACATCAGCAGTGACTTACCAACTCATTGGTATGCAAACTGGTACTGATTGGGATTGTAGGCAGATTTTTGAGCTTTGCTTTAGAGCCCTGTTTAATCAGTTTGAGAAATTAGGGTAAAGGGAATCCAGGCACCATAACCACTGCATTAAACCCCATCAACAGTTATGGTGCTTACAGTGTCCTTTTGATTATACAGGATTCCTATGTTTTTCTAATGTGTTCAGTGCATCAGGACTCTGAATAATTGCTGTACTAGAATTCCTAGAGTTTCCTTTCTTTCAGCCTGTGAAATTATAGGGATAGTGTAATCAATCTTAACATATGGTCAATAAAATGTATTTTATTACTAAATGTAAAAGTAATGTAAATGATACGTTAAAGATTTGGCCTGCATGGTAGAGCTTGTTGGAACTATATATACAAATTCTAGTATTACTAATTAATATATATTTCACAGCTTTTCCAAGGTTTGCTAGCAGGTTTTGTGATTCCAAACAATGATTAATTGCTTGAACACAGTTGAAAAATTATAAAAGGACATACACCTACATAAATTTGCCTCTGACAGCCAACTCCATGTATTCATAGGGTGTGCTTTATATTATTACCATCGCATAATAGAAAATACAAAATAATCTTATTGTTCTTACGCCTTTCCCAAAGTCTGACAATAATAATTCTGATTATAAGACTAGTATAAGCTTACCTACTAATGTAGTACTGTCTGAAGTTATTTGTTCATATGCTGTTTGATTGGTATTGGCATCTTGAATTGTTGTTTTCTCTCTCCTCTCTTTCAGAAAATGTAAAATAAATAAACATTATTTCAATGTTTGAACACAGTTGACATATGAAAGCTACAACGAGGACATAAACTTACATACAACTCTGTGTATACATAAGGTAAGCTCTGATTTATCACTGTGAAGAATAATAAGAACTAATTTATCTTATTGGTTTTTACGCTGGTTCACACTTGACATCAATCAAATATACCCTTCAAATAAAATTATGTTACGTTTTTTAGTCAGTTTCCCCATGGTGCCTGCAGACCCATGGCTCATGCTCCCCAAAATTTTTCTTGACCAACCATTAACCCCTCACTATAACAAGAAAGCATGTGGTCTGCAAGCAACCTACACAAACGACATACAGCATCTCAGCAACACACATAGCTTACACACATCACACACAGCCCCACACAAAACTTCAACACAACACAAGAAGCAGTCTGTCACACAATACACACAGATCCCCACATATACGTACAACACACAAACAGGCATTCACGCGAAATATGCACAGTTCTGCCATGCACACAACACATAGAGTTTCCTCATACACACAACACACACGGCTTTCCCATACACAACACACACTCTCAGTTGACTGACAATGTTGACTGAGTACTCCCAGCTAATGAGAGAGGTCCTGCATGGCCCTGCTTAGCTCTCTAGAATTCTCCTAAAGGGGCTGTGGCCAGGGTGCCTGGCAGAACCTAGGTAAATCGCCAAACTGAGATAGTGCCAGGATAATCATGACAGTTAACTGTAGCGTTCCGTGGAGTGTGCCTTTAAATATACTACAAACTGCATATCTGTAAGTGAGTATATCAGTGACATACAGTTGTGCTCAAAAGTTTGCATACCTTGGCAGAAATTGTGAAATTTTGGCATTGATTTTAAAAATATAACTGATCATGCAAGAAATTTATTTTATTGAAGAATAGTAATCATATGAAGCCATTTATTATCACATAGTTGTTTGGCTCCTTTTCAAATCATGATAGCATAAATCAACCAAATGGCCCTGATCAAAAGTTTACATACCCTTGAATATTTGGCCTTGTGACAGACACACAAGGTGGCGCACACAGGTCAAAATGACAAAGGTTAATTTTCCACAACTGTGGCTTTTTAAATGTCAATTAGTGTCTGTGGATAAATAGTCAATGGGTTTGTTAGCTGTCATGTGGATGCACTGAGCAGGCTAGATACTGAGCCATGGGGAGCAGAAAATAACAGTCAAAGGTCCTACATAACAAGGTAATGGAACTTTATAAAAATGGAAAAGTATATAAAAAGATATCCAAAGCCTTGAAAATGCCAGTCAGTACTATTCAATCAGAAAATTTTGGGATCTCTTGATACCAAGCCTGGGGAGATCTCAAATGTGCGGTTCATGCAAGACGACCAAAGACTTTGCATGACCTGGAGGCTTTTTGATAAGAAGAATGGGCAGCTATACCACCTGCAAGAATTAGGTGTATCATAGACAACTATTACAAAAGACTGCACTCTGTCAGTGATGCTAAAGGGGGCAATACACAGTATTAAGAACTAAGGGTATGCAGACTTTTGGACAGGGACCATTTCATTTTTCTCATCGTTGCCATGCTTTGTTTTATGATTGTGCCATTTTGTTATGTGAATCCCATCATAAATAACAGGAATGTGTTTTGCCTGCTCACTCATGTTTTCTTTAAAAATGGTCCATATATTACCAATTCTCCAAGGGTATGCAAACTTTTGAGCACAACTGTAGCTCCGAGCTTCAGCTGCATTATCTATAGTATATTTTGAAACTGGATATTTGGTTCTCAGCAAAGTCTCATCAGCCTCTCATCAATCTTAGATCAACAAACTGAGTAAAGTTTGGATAGGTAATATTAACATCAATAAATTATGATATAGCTGCAAATCAGAATCTAAATGAAACCTTTACAGTTAAGAATTATCATATAAACATCTCAATCTAGTGCCTGAGTCTAGTGTTTCTTGCCATTCCATGTTTAGTTCATTGAAGGATGGGGAGAGTACTGAGGAAGATATCAACTGCAGGTTGGAAGTAAAGGGGTCATTTGGCAGATTGTTCAATGCTGGGTAGTAAACACACTCTTGAATGCTCTGTGGGTCCCATGATTCCAGTTTAGTGAATAAACCCTAGAGTGTCAACACATACCTATTGTAGAGATTGAAGCTGACGTTGGTGGCAGTTTGAAGTGTTTAGTGCTGTAATCATATGTATTATTTGATTGGTTTCCATCTGTTGTATTTGTAAATGCATGGCTGGTTTCTTGTGTCTCCATTGTAACTGTGGTAGTGAGATTAGGATCGTTTTCTTTGGAACATTCTGTAAGTAAAATATTTGATAAAAGACCTGAAAGAAAAATAAAGGCTTGTCAATATAGCTGAAATTTTACTGATTAATGAATTTCGATTCAATTTTAGTTATACAGTAGGAAGATAGCTAATGTTATGTTTGCAATTATGTTAAAGGAACTCTAAAACCTGTATTCCTAAAGCTTTAGTGTTCCTGTCCCTATATATATATTTAGGTCCCCAAGCAGTTTGCGATTAAACTAAAGTTTTACCTCCGACAACATCATGGAGAAGGCATGACCTCCTCCAACATTCTGATCCAATGCTCCTCATAGAGGAGCACTTGTTACCTGATGTGCATGAGCAGAGAGCATTGCGCATGCATCCAAGCGTCACCATAGGTAAGCTTTGACACAATTCTTCCCTATGGGGGTTTCCATGTCACGTGACATGTTTTACTCTGTCAGTGCCACCACTAGGAGGGTATTTAACTCTGCAATGTAAACTTTGTGCTTTCTAAAAAACTGCAATGTTTTGCAGATATGACCAGTTAAACAGATCTTATCATAGGAAACGACCAAGGGGGGCTCACCCAGTCAGGAAGGGGGTGGGTTTACACCAGGCTGTCTTCCGATCAAATAGATCAGCCCACTAAGGGCAGACCACGCAAAGAGCGCTGCATGGTTCTAGTACCATGAGTGTAGTTCAAGAGCATCCAATGGACTTATGCATAGTGCAAATGTTCCATTTGGACAAACAACTTCCTCCTGAAAATGAAATTTTGTTTGGGATGTCCAGTGCTGATCCATGTGACAGTTTATCCCATGGGAAAATATTCAGGTAAACATTTGGGAATGTACATTTAAAAAAAGGCACCTATTAACATACAGCAATACAAAAGCAGCTACTATATTGTCTGGCATACGGCCTATATCAAGCATCTTTGCAATGCGAATTCTAAATTGTCAAAATTTGATTATTCATATACACTAATGGCCAACATTGTGGAAACTTTTTGTGAAATGTATATTTCTTAGGTTTTATGGCTCATTATATCAGCCTTTTTAGATTAATACCATAAAGTCGAAGTATACTTAATTAGAAAGACAATGTAAAGCTGCAGCATTTAATGCAACACACCTTATTTAAACATGGTTGGACAGATCTCTTATCCATCATGGCAAAGTAAATTGCTTATTGGCCTTTTTAAAAAAAAAGAAAAAGTCAGCTTCCTCTCAATTATGCCCCTCCTTTTTAAAATCATGTGCCAAACCCAGAATAAACATGCTTCAGGATGCTCAAATTTTGCATCCAACGATGCGCTCACACTACATTTTTGGGGGGAGAGTTCTCTGCTGTTTTCAGAAGTGTGTCATCATAGAACAAAATCAGGACAGCAGGATACAACCATTAAATTCTGGACTATTTTAATAAATATTATAATAGACCGATGAAATAAGGTTTGTTGACAACACTAATCTAGTTGATACATAATGATGCCAAATAAATACATAATGGCACAACATGTAACATTCAGGGGTGGGTGCAGAACCCAAACTTGTTGTGGTAAGCATTGGTGCAGGACTCATTTGGTTTATATAAATATAAAGTTACATACACACCTTGCACCTCTCACACTCACTGCACCCCTACACATATTGCACCCCTTACACACTGCAACTATCTATCATACACACCACAGCCTACATATACACAGCACCCTTTATAATCACTACACCCCTCATACACACTCCATTTCTTATACACACTGCATCCCTTAAACACACACTCTGCATCCCCTATAGACACCCTAGATACCCTATGCAAAAACAAACACATTTCACCCCTCACACACACTGCATCCCACACAAACACACACATTTCACCCAGGGGTCAAGTCCTGGGGAGAAAAGTGTGGGAACTCACCCAAGATTCCCGCCTCCCCCCCTCCACCCCCCTTAAGAAAATTACACTCCTATGCATAAAGTGCAGTGCAGGGTGTGTATAATGAATGTAGTGTGTTTGTAGTGAATGCAGAGTATGAATAATAAATGTAGTGTGTTTGTAGTGAGTGCAGTGTGAATAATAATTGTAGTGTATTTGTAGTGAGTGCAGATTGTGTATAATGAATGCAGTGTGTTTTTAGTGAGTGCAGAGTGTGCATAATGAATGTAGTGTATTTGTAGTGAGTGCAGTGTGTATAATAAATGTAGTGTGTATAGTGAATGCAGTGTGTATAGTGAATGTAGTGTTTTTGTAGTGAGTGCAGAGTGTGTATAATGAATGCAGAGTGTGTATAGTGAATGTAGTGTGTGTATAGTGAGTGCAGAGTGTGTATAATGAATGCAGTGTGTTTTTAGTGAGTGCAGAGTGTGCATAATGAATGTAGTGTATTTGTAGTGAGTGCAGTGTGTATAATAAATGTAGTGTATTTGTAGTGAGTGCAGTGTGTATAATAAATGTAGTGTGTAGTAGTGCAGTGTGTATAGTGCAGTGTGTATAGTGAATGTGTGTTTTTGTAGTGAGTGCAGAGTGTGTATAATGAATGCAGAGTGTGTATAGTGAGTGAAGAGTGTGTATAATGAATGTGTGTGTTTGTAGTAAGTGCAAATTGTGTATAATGAATTTAGTGTTTGTAGTGAGTGCAGTGTGTACAATGAATGCAGTGTATGTAGTGTGTTTGTAGTGAATGCAGAGTGTGTATAGTGAATGTAGTGTGTAGTGAGTGCAGAATGTGTATAATGAATGCAGAGTGTGTATAGTGAATGCAGAGGGTGTATAGTGAATGTAGTGTGTTTGTAGTGAGTGTATAGTGAATGTAGTGTGTTTGTAGTGAGTGAAGAATGTGTATAATGAATGCAGTGTGTGCGTGTGCTGGATGATGTGTGTGTGCGTGTGCTGGATGATGTGTGTGCGCGCGCTGGATGACGTGTGTGTGTGTGCTGGATGATGTGTGTGTGTGAGTGCTGGATGATGTGTGTGAGAGTGCTGGATGCTGTGTGTGTGAGTGCTGGATGATGTGTGTGAGAGTGCTGGATGATGTGTGTGTGTGTGCTGGATGCTGTGTGTGTGAGTGCTGGATGATGTGTGTGCTAGGATGATGTGTGTGTGTGTGTGTGCTGGATGATGGGTGGATGATGGATGTGTGAGTGAGTGCTGGATGATGGATGTGTGAGTGAGTGCTGGATGATGTGTGTGTGTTTGTGTGTGAGTGCTGGATGATGTGTGTGAGTGAGTGCTGGATGGTGTGTGAGTGAGTGCTGGATGATGTGTGTGTGTGCTGGATGATGGGTGTGTGTGTGAGTGCCGGATGATGATGTGTGTGTGTGTGCCGGATGATGGTGTGTGTGTGCTCTGGATGATGTGTGTGTGAGTGCTGGATAATGTGTGTGTGAGTGCTGGATGATGGGTGTGTGAGTGAGTGCTGGATGATGGGTGTGTGAGTGAGTGCTGGATGATGGGTGTGTGAGTGAGTGCTGGATGATGGGTGTGTGCTGGATGGTGGGTGTGTGAGTGAGTGCTGGATGATGGGTGTGTGGGTGCTGGATGATGGGTGTGTGGGTGCTGGATGATGGGTGTGTGAGTGCTGGATGATGGGTGTGTGAGTGAGTGCTGGATGATGGGTGTGTGAGTGAGTGCTGGATGATGGGTGTGTGAGTGCTGGATGATGGGTGTGTGAGTGCTGGATGATGGGTGAGTGCTGGATGATGTGTGTGTGTGTGTTGATGATGGTGTGTGTGTGCTGGATGATGGGTGTGTGTGTGTGTGTGCTGGATGATGGTGTGTGGAGTGCTGGATGATGTGGGTGTGTGTGTGCTGGATGATGGTGTGTGAGTGCTGGATGATGTGTGTGTGTAAAGCTGGATGATGGGTGTGAGTGCTGGATGATGGGTGTGTGTGTGTGCTGGATGATGGGTGTGTGAGTGCTGGATGATGGGTGTGTGAGTGCTGGATGATGGGTGTGTGTGTGCTGGATGATGGGTGTGTGAGTGCTGGATGATGGGTGTGTGTGTGCTGGATGATGGGTGTGTGAGTGCTGGATGATGGGGGTGTGTGCTGGATGATGTGTGGGGGGGGGAAGCATTTTTTTACTTTATGTATATTTTTTTATTTTATTCCCCCCTCCCTGCTTCTTACCTTGTCAGGGAGGGGGGAGATCGCCTGGTGGTCCGGTGGTATGCTGGAGGGAGCCAGCCGCTGCACACAGGGGCCATCACACGCTGTGTTCCCTCTCCAGCTCTAACTCTCGCGAGACTCGCCTGTGCGGAGCGTTGCCATGGTAACAGCCGCGGGTCTCGCAAGAGTTATAGCTGGAGAGGGAACACAGCATGTGACGGCCCCTCAGTGCAGGGACCAGGGCCGGTCCTGCAGGACAGGTAACGGGAACGGCGTTCCTGCTATGGAAAAAGTGCGGGAACGCCGTTCCCATGCGTTCCTGCAGGACTCGAGCCCTGATTTCACCCCTCACAAACACTCAAACACTGCACCTTTCATACACATTGCATCCCTCACACATTGCACCTTCACACACACACTCACACTGCACATTTCACATACACATTGCACCCCTCACACACACAGCACCCAACATGTACATTGCACCTCTAACACAGACATTGCACCTCTCACACACTCATTGCACCCTACAAACACACTGAACCTTTCACACACGAATTGTTCCCCTAACACACTACACCTCACACACACACATGGCACCCCTCACACACACTGCTCCTTTTAGACACACTGAACACTTCACACACACACTGCTCTCCTCACAAACGCATTTCACCTCTCACACATTGCACCCCTCACACACACTGTACCCCTACACATATTGCACCCCTCACACACTGCAATTCTCATACACACCACAGCCTACATAAACACAGCATCCTTTATATTCACTGCACCCCTCATACACACTTCATCACTTATACACACTGCATCTTGTATGTGCACACTCTGCATCCCCTATAAACACACTAGATACCCTATGCACACATTAGATCCCCTGTATGCAAAACACACACTCTACATTCCATAAATATACATTGT